CCGTGCTGCCCAAATCCTTCTCCTAACTGAAACACCCAGTATTTCTTTACTTCTCATCTTACCTCTCTTGCATTCTTTTGCTTTCTCCTTCTCCCCTCGCTGCTTGTTTTTCTTTCCTAAACGAAGGATTTTATCTCCACAGCTCAGAAGAAACATTCTAGGCAATAAAAGATATGCCATTACAGATTTCCAAAACCCTGTGTCTCTGTCTGATACCAAATCATCCCAGATAGCAGAACTTATATTAATTTTCACAAGGGCCTGCACTTTAGTGAAGAATAAGAGAATTAACATCTACTTAGACAGCAGATATGATTTTGTGTTAGTACATGACTGGTATATTCAAGAAATCCAGGGGATTTGTAGCTGCAAATGAAATGCCAATTAAAGATGGGTAACAGGTGGCTGTCTTCTTAGAGGGTTTAGTATTACCAAAAGAGGTGGACATATTTTCAAAAAGAAGCTCACATGGACAATAAAACCCTGAGGCAAAGGGGGAACTCATTAGCTGATAACATGCTAAGCTAGCAGCTCATAAATCTGCCTCAATTCCACTTCAACCGGACAGAATGTTAAGTCTCCTTTGCCAATCACCTGATCCTCTAATAGGGGAAATGAGAATCAGTTCAAAACCCCTAAGATTAAAAGGCCCATTGGAACCAAGCTGGATGTTAAGCACCCAGATAAACTTTGGAGACACCCAGATGGTTATTTGGTCTCGCCTCCATCCCTCACCTGAAATTTGTCTATGGCTTTCACAAAATGGGAAAGGAAAGGTAGACCAGCTCCTCCACTGGCATCAGTGCAAAAATTTTACTCCCCACCTGGAACAAATGGTATCCTTTTGCTGCACCTGCCAAAAACATAATCTATAAAGCTGTAAAAGTGGGGCAAGGAAGAGAGCCACCTCCAGAAGGACCTTTTATTCATTGGCAATTAGAATTTACTCACCTCCCTGTATCTTATGATTATAAGTATGTCCTTATCATTATTCATATGTTCTCTTGTTGGATCGAAGCTTTCCCATGTAAGAGGGCCATTGGTACTATTGTGGCTAAATTTCTGCCAGAATAATTTTTCTCCACCTGGATAATTTCTCTTGCCCCGTCTGACTGAGTGGGCAAACGGACTATTAAATTTAAAACTGCAAAACTCTCAGAGGAATTTGGCCTTCCATGGTCCAAGTGTCAACATAAGAATATCCAAACCTGTAAAGAATTTTTATAAGAGTGTATGAGTCCAACTGATGACATATGCCAATGAGCAAGATCTCAAATGCTCTGGAAATAACAGTTGTGCAGCTTCCTTTATGCATTTAAAGTTAAAAAGGGAAAGTAAGGAAGATTACATGGAGGTGGGAGAAAGCAAAGCGGGGATTGGATTACAGGATAGTTAACAAGAGTATGTACTCTTTTGAGGGTGGTTATTTCAAAGCTGTGTTAATCTAGATCAGCGGTTCTCAACCTGTGGGTTGCGACCCCTTTGGGGGGTCAAACAATCTTTTCACAGGGGTCACCTAAGACCATCGGAAAACAAAAAGATACTTACATTACGATTCATAACAGTAGTAAAATTATAGTTATAGAGTAGCAACGAAAATAATGTTATGGTTGGGGGTCACCACAACATGAGGAACTGTATTAAGGGGTTGCGGCATTAGGAAGGTTGAGAACTGCTGACCTAGATGCACAGAAACAATGGACAGGGTTAGTCTTGCTTAAGGCAAAGATAAGCCTTTTAGTAAGGAAGTTATAGGCCTGGGGTGTGACTACCCACCATGACCTGCCCAGTTAGGGATTTGTGATCAGATCACCTTGTGAGGCTCCTTTCCATAGAACCCCTATTTTTTCATTCACACAAGGTTTTGTCTTTTGCTTTTATAACTCTGATTGTCACCTACAAGGGCACATCAACTCTTCCTCTATGAGAGAATTACTGGAAGAGCCATGAGAATTTCATACATGGCATGGGCTATAGAAGATGCCAATTTAGTCAATTCAGACATCCTCAAATATTTCAATGAACTCCTTATACCCATACTTATCAACAGGTTAACACTGTTTTCCCATCTATATTAGTCTGCACATAAAAATCAGAGATTTGGTTCTCTGTAAATGACACTATCAAAAGATTAACGTTCAGGGCCAGCCGAGTGGTGTGTTGGTTAAGAGCTGGCTTGGGACGCCAGCTCTGAGCAGCAGGGCCCCGGTTCTGATCCTACATTAGGGCCAGTGACGCTTCGCCCTCTACAGCTAAAATGGTGAACAACAGCTCCACCTGGTGCTGGGCTGCCATGAGTCACCGGCGACGTGTAGGCTGCAGTGGAGCTGAAGTAGGCTGCCATAAGTTACCACGAGCGGCAGGCAGCCAACGTGAGCTGCCAAGAGCTGCTGTGAGCGGCCATCCAGTGGCCGGTGAGTGACTGCCTCACCCGGGAAGAGCGCAATGATAATACCAACATGGGCCCAGTGAAGCAACGTCCTCCACAACTAGACTGAAGAACAAAAAAAGACAGCAACTTGTCTGTTCCCCTTCTCTGATTCCCCAACGCTGTTCCCCTTCCTCAATTCCCCAGTAAAATCTTAAAAAAAAAAAAAGATTAACATTGAACCTCATCAGAAGAGTTCATATCCGCAAGTCCCAATTCCCCTATCTGGGAACAACAGCAATATAGATCTGCTCTTATAGCTCCACACTTTTCTTGAAATAGCCTTTATCCACAATCATACTTGTAAGCTCCAGGATAGCCCTTATTTTTCCATTAATATTAGACTTTATTTTTTTAGACTAGTTTTAGATTTACGGAAAAATGAGCAGATAGTACAGAGGGTTGCTATCTACCTCTCCCATACACACATAACATCATTGAGGAAAGAAAGTCCAAACCTATAGAAAAAAAATTGTATAAGAGATTATTTGAGCCAAATCTGAAGACACGCCCAGAAGCAAGATCTCAACAGACTGAGAAAATACTCTTGAAAATGACAGCTTTGCAGTTCTTTTTATGCATTTAGAATCAAAGGAGAGAACGTAAGGAAGGTTACATGAAATCCATTGGTGGTAGATTAAGGAGGCGGGAGGAAGCAAAGCAGGGAAAATCTCCAGGATTGGATAAAAAGTAAAATGGAGAGCTACATACTTCTTTTATGTTGGTGGGTATAGGACAGTTAACATTTAACAACAATAAATAGAAATAGCATGTGGGCAACAAGATAACAATGAGTGTGGATTCTGTGATAAAACTGAAAAGTCCAGGGACAAAAAGTAACCTCCTAGGGTGATCTGATCATAAATTCCTAACTGGGCAGGTCCTGGTGGGTAGTCATACCTCATGCCTATAACTTCTTTAGTGAAAGGTTTTAAGCCAGCCTTGTCCATTGTTCTTGTGCATCTGGGTTAACACACCTTTGAAATACAAACCCCTCAAGGTGTAACTACCCTCAAGGGAGCAGCACATAATCTTGTACTTTATTTTCTCCCACATGCACGTAATCTTCCTTACATTCCCTCCTTACTTCCACATGCATTAAAGAAACTGCAAAACTGTCCTTCTCCACAGCATTTAAGGTCTTGCCTCTCAACCACGTCATCAATTTGGCTCAAGCAAATTCTTATAAAAATTATCTACAGGTTTGGATATACTTACATTGACACACTGCAAGCTTCTACTGCAGTGGTCCCTATAAGTATCTCAATAGTGCCGCTGAACAGTCTGCCTTTCTATTCTTTAACACATTTTCTTTAACACCTGAGAATTAAAGATCAGTCGTCTTATGTCACAAACTTGAAACCCTGTCAACTCACTGTCCACTTATGAAAGGGCATTTAGCCCTGGTTTTCTCAAATGTTGAATCAGGTAGCTGTAAAACTCAGTCCCTTGGGCAATAAGCCCATCTGTGGTTTACGAAACTCTTCTGCATGATGTGTTTTGAATAAAATAAAATAGCCAAATGGTAAAAGGTGTGCTTTCATGTAAAAATTATCATTACCTATGCAGCTACTTGCTGAATTCGAGTTATTGTATTTTACAATATATTTTGACAAATATCCCTAGTTACCCTGTAGTGAAGTGTCTCTGACTTTCCCTCCCAAACAGCCTTTGTGACTTGTGATGATAACAGTAACAACTGGTCTAAGTATCGGCATTAACTATGCCTAAGACCCTGTTATCTACCATGAGATACGTAGTGTTATTTTTCCCATTTTATTTACTGGATTTAATCAGAGTCCCTTTTCTCAAACTGCAGTTCCCCGGAGCGCTTGTTGACACACAGAAGGCTGGGCCCCACCGCCAGACTTTCTGAATCTTTTTTGGGTTGTTGCCCAAGAACTTGCATTTTAAATAAATTCCCAGATGCTGCTGAAGTTACTGGTTTGAAAAGCACTACATAAGAGCAACATTGAATGCTATAGTACATAGACCCCGCAAATCAGATTATTTATCTTCATTGTCAATGTGCATCTAGGTCCCCGGGGTGTTGAGAAGTGAAGGGGCTCATCTGTGCCACAAACGTAAAAGTGGGTCTTTTGTAGACCTCGAGGGCGGGCAGAACTTGGCCCCAGGCTGTCACAGAAGTCTGGGGACAGCCCCTTTAAGAGGGAAGGCTCGCGCTGCAGCTCGGCCAGCGTCATGGAGAACGACCGAGGTCCGCACGCTACCCGGCCTGGCCGGACGCAGGACGCCAAGCCCACGATCCGGGAGGCTGTGCCTGTGCGTCACCGGCTGGCGCTGGGCCAATGACGGCCCAGGAGAGCGGCGTTTCTTCGGGCCGGAGGCGGGGGCCGGAACTTCCTGCGTTGCAGCCCCGCCAGTCATTTCCCTGGCGGGTCTGTGCGCCCCGGTCGTGGGCGCTTCCCGGGCGTCTTTTCCGGAGCTAGCGGAGGACCCCCCCCC